TCATCTTCAGTCTCCCTCTGACTCTTGTCTTCTCTGCTTCCCTCTGCCACTTACAAGGACCCTGTGACTGCATTGGCCCCATCTGATAAGTCCAGGATCGTCTCCTTATTTTAAGGTCGGCTTATTAGTAGGCTTAGAAATTCCCTCTGCAGCCTAACATGTTCACAGGTTCCAGGGGTTAGGACATGGACGTTGTTGGGGACACACATTATTCTGTCTGACACCATGTGGGTACTTTTTTTTCTACAAATGTTATTTGCGTAGTTTACACACTGTTCTTTAATTTGTCTTTTTCATTTAATAATATATCTTGAAAAGTTATTCCCTGTCAGAAGCTATCGATCTCCCTTATTCTTTTTTATCTGCTATATTATATTCCTTTGTATGGCTTTTTCATCATTTATTTAACCATTTGAGTATTTCTTATGCTAGAATTTTAAATTTTTATGTAGTCGAATATATCTATCTTTTCTGAGTGACTTCTTACACTGTTATGCTTAGGAAGTCTTTTTCCTTTAATTAAAAAATTAATGTTTTGCTTAGATTAAAAAAAAATCAGTTACGTTAAATGTTAGTTTCCTAGGGCTGCCGCAGCCAATTACCACAAATTTGGTGGCGTAATACGGCAGAAGTATGTTCTCTCACAGTTCTGGAGGCTGGAAGCCTGAAATCAAGGCGTCGGCGGCTGTGCTTCCTCTCAAGGCTCGAGGGGAAGCTCCCTCCTGCCTCTTGCAGCTTCTAGAGGCCCAGGCGTCCTTGACGTATGGCTGCATCCCTCCAGTCTCTGCCTGTCTTCACACAGCCTCCTCTTCTCTATCTGTGTCTGTCTGTGGTAAAAACATATGACATGAGCTCCACCCTGTTTTTAAAATTTTAAGTGTACGTTATATATATGTAAATATGTTAAATGTAAAAATTTATATAATTTTTATGTTAAATATAAATATATGTAAATATATTAAATATATAAATATTAACATATAAATGTACAGTATTAACTATACGCATTGTTTTACAGTAGATTTCTAGAACTCTTTCATCTTGTATGACTGAAATGCTGTACCTGTTGAATAACAACTCCCCATTTCCCCTTCTCTCCAGCCTCTAGCTGCCACTGTTCTCCTTTCTCTGTGTGTCTCTTATAAGGACACTTGTCACTGGCTTTAGGGCCCACCGGGGTAGTCGAGGATGTTCTCATTTCACGATCCTTAATTATACTTGCAAAGACCTTATTTCCAAACAAGGTCACATTCACAGGTTCTAGGGGTTAGTTTGAGGACATAGCTTTTTGGGAGCCACCATTCATTCCACTGCATGTTCTCAGTGCTTTTTATCTTCCTTCCCAGAAATCATCTTTGGAAATTAATTTTTGTGAGAAGTTTTAACAATTATTTCTTTCTTTCATTGTCTTCAGGAGTTGTTGCGCATCTACATTATGCACGGCAGTTATAGGTTCCTGTTTCCTTCTGTGGCAATGACTAGAGTATGGTAGTGGTATATGGTATTTGGAATGGTGATAGCGTGGTTAAATGCTGTTTGGGGGGAAAAGTGTTTTTTCCAATTTCTACAAATATGTAATTATAAATAGGATTTTCTCATTTTGCATGCCTGAAGTTAAGATCCTTGAAAATGTATGCTGAAATTGACTATTTTGAGTAAGATTGAAAAGTGGCATTAAAATCTATATTACCTATATGTGAATATTTATGGGTGAGAATAATACCATACCACATACCCTGTCTTAGTAAAGCTGGTTAATATGTGTATTAACACTATAATGAACTGTTGGGAGAGGCAGTTTGCCGTGGGCCCTGAGTTTCCCTGTGTGTTCCTGCTGAGTGTGCCAGATTCAAGGCTTTATCCATCTTGTTGGCTGCTTGTTCAAAAAGCGCTAGGCCATTGGCCCTGGGTTCTTCTTTTGCAGAGCAATCTATTGCATGTGCTGGTGTCATCTGGGTCCACCCTGTGACCCTCACGGGACTTTGGGGCAAGGGGAACAAAGGCATACATGCAGATGTCATACACCTTGCTGTGCCATGAGTAATAAAGTTCTTTATCTTTGACCCAAGAGGCTGTCTTCTGCCAGTGTCCGTGAAACAGTAGCAGGCTAATTTAGTAACTTACAAGTAGGATAAAATCTCAAATATAAATATATGGGGAAAAATTGTGTGTAAATTGAATTTGGGTAACTAAAGTTCCTGAATGTTTATTGAGTAGCTGATTTTTAATGTGCAGTCTTACAAATATAAATTCTCAAAAGTCTATTCTATTTGTTTTATAGATTATGATATTTATATTATCAGGTATAGTAGTGAGGGTAATGCTTACTAGGTGCTGTAATGTATAAACCCCCACATCTCAGGGGCTTTACACAAGAAAAGTATTTTTCTTGTTCATGTAAAGTCCTATGTGAGCGTTCCTGGTTGGGAATCTTTCAGGGTGGCTTTTTCACCATCTTTGTCTCATGGTTCCCAAGGTCTAGGGAGTCATTTCTGTTCTGGCTATTCTTAAGGAAGGTATGAATATGGAGGATCACACATAGGAGGTTTTGTTTTTGCTTTTTTTGCTGGGAAAGATTCACCCTGAGCTAACATCTATTGCCAATTTTCCTATTTTTTTTCCCTCCCCAAAGCCCCAGTAGGTGGTTGTGTATCCTAGTTATATGTCGTTCTAGTTCTTCCGTGTGAGCCGCAGCCACAGCATGGCAACTGACAGATGGGTGGTGTGGTTCCGTGCCTGGGAAGCAAACCCTGGCTGCCGAAGCAGTGAGAGCACTGAACTTTAACCACTAGGCCATCAGGGCTAGCTCTTGTTTTTGCTTCTTTTATTTTAACTTCTGATTATGGAAAATTTCAAGCATACCAGAAGTAGAGAAAATAATATAGTGAACCCTCATGCATCCATCACCTAGTTTCAACAGTGATAAATGTTTTGCTGTTTTTCCCCCTACCACTTTTTTTTTCTGGAGTCTTTACCTTTTATTATTACTTTTTAATAAAATAATACTCTCATTATGGAAAATATTTAACTTAGAAAAAGAGACACCTGTAACCTTACCCCTCAGAGAAAGCCACTAATTGGGTGTGTGGTGTTGTCTTTAATGACATTATTTTTGAGGATCTATCCATCTGTGTCTTTCTTTTAAATATATTCAATATATCCCATTATATGAATAAACCATACTTAATTTATCCACTTCCCTGTTGGGGGGCATTTAGGTTATTAGTTTTTCTCTATTAAATAATGTTGTACTAGCATTCTCATATCATATATACTTGAGCAAGTATTTTTTACAGGATAATTTCTAGGATTGGAATTGCTGGGTCAAGGTGAATGTATGTCTTAAAGATTTAGTAGGTGTAGTGTCAAATTGCCCTCCAAAATGACTATACCAATTTATACTTTCAGCAGTAGTGAATGAGAATTATAGGAGTATTTTAAAATAAATCCCAAACATTGTGTCATTTCACCTGGAAATACTTCAGTATTTCTTGCTCATAGATAAGGACTTTTTTCATTTTTAAACTTATCGTTTCTGGGGCTGGCCCCATGGCAGAGTGGTTAAGTTTATGTGCTCCACTTCAGCGGCCTGGAGTTCACCAGTTTGGATCCTGGGTGTGGACCTATGCACTGCTCACCAAGCCATGCTGTGGCAGCATCCCACAGAAATAGAATGACCTGCAACTAGGATATACAACTATGTCCTGGGGCTTTGGGGAGAAAAAAAAAAGAGGAAGATTGGCAACAAACGTTAGCTCAGGGCCAATCTTCCTCACCAAAAAGCATACCTTAAAAAAAATAATAAATAAACTTATCATTTCTAAAAAGCATTGTCACTTCTAGAAAAAACAGTGCCTTTTTAACTATTTAGCTTTTTAGCTTAATACCTGCCTTCCTGTAATCTTGGTGCCAGGCTGAGCCATTCATTTAACTCAGAAGTCTCACAGACTGCTTTCTGTAGAGATTTTGTTAGTCTGGTTCTCCTCTTATTTGGGCTGCAGAAGCTTTTCCAACCCAGTGAGACTTTTGCTTTCTAGACTTTTCTCATTCCTTCCATTTCTGCTTGAAAAGTAGCAGTTCTCTCCTGAGCTCAGTTTTGTCTTGAAATATCTTGCTAAGGCAGTCAGTAGTCGTCAGCACGCTCCGTTATTCTGACTCTTCCCACCCCCTTCCCCAGGCCAGCAGGCTCAGCAGACACTTGGTCTGTGAAAGGCAGCAGTTACTGCAGGCAGCCTTTTATGGTTGGCCATCTGTTGTCAGGATACACCAGGCTCTCCAGCCTGCTCTCTGCCGCCTGACTGCACTTTTTAGGTTTTTGTTACCCAGAGCACCCCACTTCAAGATACTCGTTTCTGTATCTGTCATGGTTTGGTCAGGAAAACAGAAACTACTCTAGGTATTTCGAGCAGGAAGGGATTTAACATAGTGAATTAGAGGCTTATGAAACCATTGTCTGTGCTGGGGGTCATGGTGGTGGCAGCAAAGGCAAGGAAAGCTGCTGTTAGCCTTCAGGTAACCAGGAAATGCAAGAACTGCAGGCGACTGCTGTAGATCAGCTGGGCCCTCTGTAGGACCACAGAGGGTGATTTTCAGGAGGAAGTTCTGAGGCTGCTGGCACATCAGATCTGTCGGTGTGACCTGGTGCCAAAGCCCATACTAGGGCTGCTCCTGCTAGAGCAATCCCAGCTGGCCTCCGTTGCTCTTCTGCTTTCCAAATCTCGTAGGGTAGCTGAGCCTCTCATCCCGGCCAAGATTCTGGTCATGCGGTTCTCTGCTTTATGAAGATGAGCATAGACTGGGAGGAAATGATGCTCGTTGCCAACACACAACCCCACTTCTCTTAAAATGAGGGGAGCATTGAACCTTAGAAAGAAAGGAGAAACACTCCTCAATATATTGCTGTTGGATTATCTTACAGATAAAAATGTTTGCTGTCTGGAAATGAGTACAAAATATATACGTAAATAAAATTTTATTTTTATAATTGTTTTTGTTTATAGACTATAAAGCAGTTGGCAAAATAGGAGAGGGAACGTTTTCTGAAGTTATGAAGGTGCAGAGCCTGAGAGATGGAAACTACTATGCGTGTAAACAAATGAAACAGCACTTTGAAAGGTAGGCACTCAGAGACGTGTTTAAGAGTAAATAAAGTACAGGTTTAAATCAATAAGGGCAACTTAACCTTAGTGGGAAAATTGTATTCATGTAATAATATGTGAGATTTTTTTGGGCAGTGAGGATTATGGGCCAATTTTATGTTTATCATGCTGGATTTTATTCATGTCCAAGTTTACTGTCATACCAATGATTAATGGTTACAAAGTTAAATTATAAAAGTATACCTCACTTTAAATAGTCTATATGTTCCTAAAAGTTGTGTGTATGTTGGGCTTTTATAAATGAAACCTTAGTTTAAATATATTAGAGGTCCTTGTGATTTAATTAATTGTGAATCAATTAATGTATTTAAAAATAATTTCCAAATACGGTTGCAGAAATTTATCCCCTGGGAGTGATGAGTTGCCGTGTGTGGAGAGGGGAACTAGAGAGTTCTGGATTAGTCCCTTTGAGGACTGCTGTGGCTTTTTCCCTCAGAGCAGCCTCTGAGTCTTCGAGTTTGCAGGTTCTTAACATATATCACACTAAAGACTCAAAAACCAGATATGATTAGGAAACTCTATCAGAATAATGAAGTAAATGCTGGTTTTATTACAACTGTTAAACTTTTCAATTAAGAGATTTGAAGCTCAGCTATTTTTTTTAATATCAAAGGAATTGAAGTCTATAAATATCTAAAGCAAATTTTTGAGAAATGAGATCACCCTCCCCACCCACACATTGATGCAGAACCTTCTGAAATGTTTTGGGATATAAACCTTGATTTCAAACTCAATATGAAAGAATTGTTTCTCACGTCAGAAAGGAGTATAGGACAGTTAATGGTGTCAAAGAGTATGGAGAAAAGTAATTTCATCCTCATGACATCCCCACAGGACAGTTGTAATCGTTTCTCTTTTGTACATGAGGACAGGTGCTTAGAGATGTGAAATAACTTGGCAATTCTCATTCTAGGCCACTAGGTGGGCAGAGCCAGATTTGAATCCAGATTTCACTGAGCCAGAATCCTTGTTCTTCATCACCCAAAGCATGCGGTCATTTACGTGTCACTGCCAAGACTCTGAAGTTACTGGGTCTTCTGCTTTTCCTCTATTCTGTCCCTTCTTCCTCTGTATTCTGCATTCTCTGTGTTTCTTTATCTCCCCCCCCCACTCCATCTTTACCTTTAAACTGCTCAATGATAGAGAATTTGATGCACAGTGTACTGATTATCCCATATCTAAAGAGCAGACTTCCTTAAAAAGCCACCTTTGAGAAACCCACCACAAACTCAGAGTAGCTAAGAAAGGCCTTTGAGCAGCAGGATGTGATGCGTTTGCACCTTAACACAGGACCGGAATCCCTATTGGGTCCCATACTCAAATTCAGGGGTAGATGTACTTATAGACACCAGGACTTGCCAGCTGTTATTTTGGGAAAGAGCTGAACACAAAAAGTGGACTAGGGGCTGGCCCAGTGGAGCAGCAGTTAAGGGCGCACGTTCAGCTTCAGTGACCTGGGGTTCGCCATTTCAGATCCCGAGTGTGGACATGGCACTGCTTGGCAAGCCATGCTGTGGTAGGCGTCCCACATATAAAGTAGAAGAAGATGGGCACAGATGTTAGCTCAGGGCTAACCTTCCTCAAAAAAAAGAGCAAGAAAGAAAAGGTGGACTAGATGAATAGCCTTCAGACTTCAACTTCGGAGGTCGTTGCTATGTCAGAATTAATGCACAGGCATGTTCACTCTCTTGAGCCAGCCATCAAGGATGGATCACACTTAGTCACAGATGTGCGTTCAAGAAGGTAGAGATAGCTGTACCACATTTTAGAAACATTTCCCTCAAAGAAGATTAGAATGTTTTAAGGGGCAATCATTTGAGGGTCAAGGAACACTCAATTTATCTGGAGAAGTAGCTTATGTAACCTCAGTCCCTCAGGAGAATGTAGTGTTATCTAAGGGACGTGGTTTCCTAGTGGCGATGTGCATCCTGAACCACCACTACCAGGTCCCAACACACCAAAAGTGCACACCTTGTGCATCCGAGCTTTGGCTTCCTGGTCATGAGGTGCTTGAGGTCTGACCGAGGAGATGAATATAAGGTAGCTAGCAAGGAGGGGTGCACGGTAAACGTTCAATAGATGGTAGCCTTTGTTAATGTATGTGTAATCATTTGTTGTATTTCAGAAACAATTCATGCTGTTTGCCTTAACTTCAAAAATGATTAATTTGAACACATATTTTTCTTTTAAAAATTCACAGTAAGTAAAAATTTTTAAGAAAATACCACTGGATCAGTATTATTACTTTACCTTTTTTTTTTTAAAGTTTGTGGGTGGGATGATCAGCGGGCTTTAGTCTCTGTTGTATAAATCACAATTGCACATATTGGCCTTACTTAAAAGGAAGTCTGCTTACTCTGGTATTTTGTGACTGTTTGATGTACGGAGTCACTGATAGAGTCTTGAGCTTAGTTTTGACATGTATCTGCTAGGCTGTGTAATCCAAACCCAAGGGGAATTGGACTTTGGGTTTCTTCTTATGAGTTCTTATTGCTCTTGATATGTATGTTCAAAACTATAGGAGACTGTAATCCCATACTGTCGTTAATTATTTAATAATTAGTCCAACTCTGGCCCTGGGAGCTCTTTCAGGTTGGCTCTGTGTTTTTTTGGGGTTTTTTTTTAAATTTTTTTTTCTTTTTCTCCCCAAAGCCCCCCGGTACATAGTTGTATATTCTTGGTTGTGGGTCCTTCTAGTTGTGGCATGTGGGACGCTGCCTCAGCGTGGTTTGATGAGCAGTGCCGTGTCCGCGCCCAGGATTCGAACCAACGAAACACTGGGCCGCCTGCAGCGGAGTGCGCGAACTTAACCACTCGGCCACGGGGCCGGCCTCTGGCTCTGTGTTTTTTTGACATGCCCCATTCTTTTTCTTTTCTTAACAGTTCTTTACTTGTTGGCACTACAAGAATCTCTAAGTCTATCTTGTATTCTCCCTGCCCCTAGAATCTTCCATTTCTCTAAGGAGTGGTTCCTTTTATTGGAGAAACGTATTTAGAAAACAAGATCTTGGCACCAGGTGTGCTTATTGCTTCTAGAATGTCACTGCCTCTAGGCCCTCTTAGCAGACAGAGCTCATGTGTATGGACACTTAACCTGTATATACTACACATCTCTCTCTCTCTCTGGCTCTCTTCAATAATGAGTGCATTATTTGGTTATCTGTCTCTATTGAAATGATGAGTGCATCCTGATACAAACAAATGACTGAATGAATAAATAAATTTGGATGAGGGGACAGTTCTTCCTTATAGAAGAATTCCGATTAATCAATATAGAAGGAATGAGAGAAATAGGAAATCATCATTAGAATACCATAGTAATTTCTGCAGGCAAGATAAACTGATGAATGCTAAAATTAGTAGGTGAAACTTTAAAGAGAGCAGGATTTCTGCACAGCCTCAAATGATCTCCCCCCAAATATTTATTAATTACTGTGATGCTTTTAACTTATGTACACAAATTGATATTCCTTCCTCCAGTAGGTAGGGTTTAATTTCCTTCCCTTTGAGTGTGGGCTGGACTTAGTGACTTGCTTCTAAATGATAGAAAATAGAAAGGGAAAGGTAGTAACTTTACAGTGAGAAACCTGGAAGATACCACCTTAACTAAATGATTAAGATTATCACCATCAGTAATAAGACATATTCATATCACGTACCCTCTAATAGAATGGGATGGGAAGGGCATATCACCTCCATGGTATTTTTCCCCAGAGATCGATAATCTCGGTTTAATTATGAGAATACATCAGACAAGCCCAAATTGAGGGGCATTCTACAAAATCCCTGCCCAATACTTCTCAAAACGGTCAAGGTAATGAAAAACAAAGACAGACTACGGAACTGTCACAGAGTGGGGGTGACTAAGGGGACGTGACAACTTAATTACCATGTGGTATTTTTGATCCTGGAAAAGAAAAAGACAGAAATGGAAAGACTGCAGAAATCCAGGTAGTGTGTAGTTTAGTTAATAGAGTTGTACCAGCGTTAACTTCCAGTTTTGATCAATGTTGCATGAGATGTTAACATTAGGGGCAGCTGAGTGAAGGGAACTTTCTGTGCTATTCTTGAAAGTCTTCTCTTAGTTTAAAATAGTTTCAAAATAAAAAGTAGAAAACAAATCAAAACAAAAAATAACCATAGGAGATATGGAATGACTCATATTGCTCATAAGCTTCTTCCGATAAAGGTATTGCTATTATTTCTAATTTATAGGAAGAAATGACTTTATGGTTTCTTCTAGAAAGCAAGCTGGTTTTGGTGTCACCTCTAGGGGTGAGGTTGCTAATTTGTTGGATGTTTATTCACTGTAACTTGATCCACAACTTTAATGCTGTTCTTTGTTTTTGTTTTTGTTTTTTAACTGTGAAAATATTTCTAGCTTTTAGAGTTCTGGAGTATCATCATTTTTAAACAATTTATTTAATCTTACTCACTTGAAGAATAATTTTAGGTTCCTTTAAAAATCCATTTCTGCTCTACCGATCATTGTCTGAGTGAATCCTCAAAGTCACCTTGCAGAGTTGTGTGGGTGGCGTGAGAAACAAGAAGCGGGCAGAGAGGAGTCACACTGAGTCAGGCAGGCAGGAAGAGATTGGTGTTTGCAGCCTCTGACCCCACACCTCCTCAAGTTTTATTTCCACTCCTTTCCTTCTGCTTTTACTGAAATAGAACTTGATAGCTTTTGCAATGATCTTTGCCACCATGAAGTCTAGGTAAGGTAAAATAAACCAATTCATTGTGTCAGGAAGGGTACTTTCAGCTCCTGAGTCGCTCAAACCCTTAGTTTGGGGATAATGAAGTTAGTTACTTGCCCAAGGCTGCAAAATGGCCAAGTCCTTTGGATATCTTTTTTGGTATATCTTCAAATGTCCTCCCACCTATACTCACCAGAAGTATACATTTAATAAGAGGCTCTTTTTTTGCTATGATAGTATTCTGTATTTTTATAGAAAT